TATATTTATTTTAAAAATAATTTGGATAAACTTTATGGGAAAAGGACAAGGTCAAGCTAATTATAATAGGAAGATTCAACCTAAATTGGGTGGTGAAAGGAGGCTTTCCTTAGAAAGTGACATTTAAGGATAAAGATGGTTCTAAGCATCACAAAGGCCCTGCAGCAGGAAGGTTCATGACACATGGGAACAAGAAACCAAAAGGGTCTGTTACTGGAGCACAGTAAACAAGAAAAAGGTGGTAGGGGGTGAACCAAGAGAAGTAGGAGATCATGCAGAAGCTTGTTTCACGTGAAGGGATTTAGACTTTATTCTCAGAGCAATAAGCAGCCACTGAAGGGTTTTCATTAGGGGACTGATAAATACCCACTCAGGATTATATCAATAATTCAGTGAAAAGACGATGGTGATTTAGACTCCCCCAGGGGTAACTGGCCAGTTCCCTCCCTTATAGTTCAGGGTGGTCCTGACAGCTTCAAAATCAAGCCCAATTTAACACTTTCTCGCTCTCCTCGCTATCATTCCCATACGTCTATTTCAACAACAGCCCCACCCCATTTTCACCACTTAACTACTGACTTTAACAGATTACAGGCAGTATTACTTAAAATACAGAGGGCTTTTGTTTATACTTCATTTAAAATGTATCAGCAAACTAATAAACATAGATTGGACATTGGATAAGTGAGTGTGATGATACTCCCTTTAGAATACATGAATAAGCCAAACACTACCTCCTACCTTAAGACCATGGGCAGCTGATCGATGCTGATGCCCTGTACAAACACCAGGTATGCCAGAGAAGCCAGAGAGTCTGCTACTTGCTTGTCTTCTTCTTCCTCAAATTCAAGATAGTCCCAAGTCCTCTTTTTCTTTCCATGATTAAAAATCATTTTGGGGAAAGGGTAGCCAATTGCTGATAAAAAACCCTGTGTGAGATGGATAAAAAAGGAAAGCTATAGCAGATAGACTCTAGTGTGCCCCTGCTCCATTCACATCCCACACATATCAACACCCCTTGAGTGTGGGTGGGACCTGTGAGAACTGCTTTTAACTAAAAGAATACAGCAAGATGCCTCCCCGTTATTGGCTTATGTTATATGGCAGAAGTGAAGGAATTTTTGCAGATGTGATTGAGGTCCCTGTGGTCAGTTGATCTGGAGTTATTGAAAAGGGAGACTATTATTGGTGGGCCTGACTTAGGTAGATGGTTTTAAAAACAGGGTCCAGGCCCTCCTTGAATCAGAAACTCACCGCTGCTGGCTTTAAAGAACTAAGCTGCTATGTTAAGAGAGGGCCTATGGAGAAGGCTGTGTGGCAAGGAACTACAGGCAGGAGCTGAAAGTGGTCCCTGGCCAACAGCCAGCAAGAAAATGGGGACCTCAATCCTATAGCTTCAAGAAAGTAAATTTTGCCAACCTCAAAAAACTGAGTAGGAAGATGAAAAAGTTCTAGAGATTGATGGTGATGATGGTTGCACACCAATGTGAATGTACTTAATGCCACTGAACTGTATACTCAAAAATAGTGAAAACAGAAATTTTATGTTATATACATTTTATCACTATTTTTTTTAAGTGCTTCAGAGATTTTTGAGAGCAATCTAGAAATGTGAGACACATATCATGAAATGACAATGACTCAGATGAAGAATACTCTAGGAATAATGCTCCACTGACCACTGTCTACCTATACACAGAGTGAGCACAGGAACACTGCTCAGTGGCAGCAAAGGTTGAGGAAATGAGGAAACATTGCTGATATCTCAGGTTATATGGGCTCTTGTATCATAATAGAGAAGCATTTCTGCATGAGTGGCTAGGAATACAGTTTTATCTTTTTTATTAAGGAGAGAAAAAGAGACTCAGAAAGTATACAGTCACTCCTATGCCTCTTACACTATTTCTACTTCTGGTATACTAGAAAGCACCGGACCTTCAGAATCTAAGGCAATTGATTATAGAGTTTTGGATCTACCACTTACTAGCTGTGAGACACTGAATGTGTTACCTAACCTCTCAGTTTTCTTATCTGGAAAATGACATAATACATATTTACTAAGAAGCTCCACAAAAAAAGTACAAGAAAGTTAAGGTCACAACAAACTACTAATAGAAGTTAAAAGGGGATGACAAAAATAGCTAAATCGGAATGAGCACCTTCCACATATTCACTTATTTATTCAATAAATGCTTGAGTACTAGGCATTGGACTAGACATAGTTGGGGATTATAAAGACACATAAATCTTCTCCATCCTTCAGGGAGTTAAAATCTGCTGATCCCAGATGGCTCTTAAGTCATTTCAGAACACAAAAAGGAAGCATGGAAAATCATCCCGTCATAAGAGACTGCTATTCAGCTACCAGATGCTAAATATATATACTGCTGTACTGATTTTCAAAGCCATGCATTCTTGTTACAGCTGTAACACAAAAAGGTTCCTGTGTTCAGATTCCAAATGTCCTCTTAATCATGAAGCTCCATTTCTTGATTCAGCTGATGATGCTACATGTGTTTTCTCCCCAGAGTAAGGTTAGCCTATTTGAAAATCATCCTATGCAACCAGATTCTACAGTGCTGCTCTGGATATCTGGGGTCTCCCTGTGTCCAAATCAGGGCCTTCACCATCTATCCACACACCATTCGGTAGGCTTGCTCAGACCCAGGACATACTTGCCACTCTGCAATTTTTCATGGTAGCCTCTGCCCTTTCAGAAATGTTCCTATGCCGCAGCCTTTGGGATATTCAAGCAGTTCTATACCAAAATAAGCTGTGCCAAAGGAGGGATGGCTGAGGCCATCAATCTCAAGTATGCCACACTTAGCTGAGCACAGAACAGAAGGCACCTCCTCACCTCATCTCTTACTCTGATTTCACCTCTACTTCTTGACTACTTTGTGCTTCCTCACTGCTGGCTCTTTCTACTCATAATGCTCCTTCCTTCCACTGTGACCTTAGTATCTCTCTCCTACCCCTCAACCTCTGCACAGGATGTTTGCTCTAGCTCACTGATTTAATTAAACTTGATAGTTCTGGTGGGAGCTGCTCACGCCTCTTACATCGCAGAGCCAGGAAAGCAGCAGTGGAGAAGAGTGGTATGGGTAGAGGCTTAGTATGGGTTCTGCCAGCACTCAAGGAAAAGCACATTCTTCCTTTGAGGCAGATACCATACTGCCCTTTATTTGTCCTTTCCTCATGCTGACATCCTGGTCATTTCTGAACATGCACTGAAAATTTTGGTACCTGCTCACAATCTCTTTCTCTCTCCAATTCCTGCTATGACTCTGGGAAAGCTGAATGTTCATGTAGATAACTCTCCTAACAGGCCAGCCTCATGGTTCTTGATTTCTAAATTCTAGAACTTCTGATCCATTTTGGCACCTAAATCCATCCTGGATCTCTGTCAACATTTGGAGCTATTATTCCATATTAGGTACCTGAATTCCAGCATCTCATTTTCTTTTTCTTTTCTTTTTTTTTTTTGTTTAAATTTTATTTTTGTTTAAAATATTAGATGTCCCTTTTTCTCCCCAATGACCCGTTCCACCCTGTCCCATCCCCCTCCCCAGTCCCTCTCCCCACCATTGTCCATGTCCTTGGGTTGTGCATATATGCATATAAATTCTTTAGTTACTCTCTCCCCCTCCGCCCACCCACCCTCCTCCATCCCTCTGACATTTGTCAGTCTCATCTATGCTTCCATGTCATTGAATTTATTCTGTTCATCAGTTTATTAAGTTCTTTAGATTCCACGTATAAGCGAGGTCACATGATGTTTGTCTTTCACTGACTGGCTTATTTCACAGCATCTCATTTTCTGACCACACCCTCTTATCTCCTTTCCTATCAACCTGCTTTTCTCCCTCCAGTCCTGCGATCCCTTCATTTTAATCTATCCATCTGCAGCTTCCTAATTCCCTTTCTTTCCCTATCCAACCAATGTACTATTGGTCATTTGAACTATCTGCAACCTCTATTTCCTTTAGCTGCATCTATCCAATAAAATGCTAGCCTTGGAAAAATAGCTATACTCTACCTTCTCTACTTCCACGCCCAGGCAGCTGCATGTAGAAAATCACACACAAAAACACAGCTGAGTGCTCAGTTCTAACTAATGCCTTCCTGGTCTTCCACCGCCTCTCTCCTCAGTGTTCCAAACCTTTAACACTTTCCTGAAGCTCCTTATTCAACCCCCACTTCTACTTCGTTATTCTTAAGAAATCTTCACCTTGCCTGGCCAGGCGTGGCTCAGTGATTGAGCGTTGACCTAGGATCCAGGCAATCAGGGTTCGATTTCTGGTCAAGGCACATGCCCGGGTTGCGGGCTCAATCAATGACTCTCTCATCATTGATGTTTCTATCTCTCTCCCTCTTCTTTCCTCTCTCTGAAATCAATAAAGATATATTTTTAAAAATTTAAAAAAAAGAAATCTTCACCTAGGAATCTGAGGCCAGTGGGTCTGATTCCCCTCAACTACAATATTACATCCCTGCTACAAATTTCTCTCCATGCATACCCATCCTTACCTCCTGTCCTTGATCCCATGCCCAGCCACCTGCTCTCCTCAAGCCACATTTCTCAGTTATCCCATAACCGTTCTCTTTCCCCCACTGGCTCCCACCCCTTCAGTCTATAAACGTGCTCAGTCCTCCTATGTCTTCTAGCGGTTGCTTCTCTTCCTTACTCTTCCAGTGCTTTTAAAGGATAGTTTATACTAGTATCTCCTTTTTCTCATTTTTCACGCACTCTTTTATCCGCTCTGCTGATTTCTGTTTCTAATACTCCACTCAAACTGTTCTCGCTAAGATTACCAATGCAATCTTACTTCCTAATCCGACGGATGCTTTCCAACTCTTACGTCACCGGCTCTTTCTGTGGCACTTAACAGTATCAATCACTTTTTTCTTCCAGAAACTCTGCTACCCAGTTTCTGGAATATTTCTACCACCTCTTCTATCCTTCCTCCTTGGTCTCTTTGTTGGGCTCATCTTAAGTGCTGGTCCTCTGCAGGGTTCAGTCCTGAGCCCTTTTCTCACACTGATGTGCCCCTTTAGGTGATCTCATCTACTCTTAATCAAAATTTACTCCTTATATATGTATGTATATATATGTATATATATATATATAAAATAATTATTTTTTTAAATATATCTTTATTGATTTCAGAGAGAGGAAAGGAGAGGGAGAAAGAGAGCTAGAAACATCAATGATGAGAGAGTCATTGATCGGCTGCCTAGCCTGCAACCCGGGCTTGTGCCCTGACCGGGAATCGAACCCCGATCGCCTGGATCCTAGGCCAACGCTCAACCGCTAAGCCACGCCCAGCCAGGCATGTTAGGTATATATTAAGAAATTATTGCTAATCTTCTTAGGTGTCATAACAACACTGTGGTTATGTTTTTTTAAAAGTCCTTACCAATTAGAGAAGCATACTTAAAGACTGTGGATGAAATGACGTATCTAGGACTTGCGATAAAACACTACAGCAAAAAAAGAGTGAGGGTGAAACAAGAACGGCAAAATGTTTGGCAGTAATTTAAAGCTGGGTGACGGGTACGTGAGGGTACATGACACTGTTCTCTCAACTTTTCTGAATGTTTTAAACGTTCTATAATTTTAAAAAAAAAAAGTTTAAAGCACAAAATCCGCCTGCTCCTTGCTCTGTATTCTCTATTTCCATTACTGACACTGTCATCTGCCCGGTTTCCTAAGCATGAACCTTATGCATGACTTAACCTTTTTACTATTCTTCTAAATCAAATCAATGACCAAATTTTGTTAATTTTACCTACTATTAATTCTCCAGTCTGCCCACTCTTGTTCATCTCCACCACCATTTCCATACTCAGGCTCTCATCATCCTTACTTAACTCCAAAAAGATACCTAACTGGCTTCCCTACTTCCAATCTTATCTCAAGTAAGTTAATCCTCCGTTAAAGTGATGAATACAAAACACAATTTGATTACATCACTCCCAGGCTTAAAATCCTTTAACTGTTTCCAACTTTCATAGCCATCTCTCAAAGTTGGGTACATTTTTCTGATGGCGTTTACACTGTATCCAGAGAGTATACTGTACTCTGTCTAGCATGGGCAACAGTGAAGAAGCTCACACCTATATGTGCTCCTGGGAAAATCCTTCCATACCATGGAATACTATTAAACTGATGGAAAAATATTCAAAATATGCTAAGAAAAACAAAGTAGATTACAAAAGAGTACATATAATATGACAGAATTTTTGAAAAAATTATATAATATATAAATGCTTATTTATTTATGATTATAAAAACCAAAAAAAGTCTGGGAGGTATTGCTATTATTTACATTTGGGTAATGTAACTATTGTTACTTATTTTCTTTTTGTTTACTGTGTTGTACAAAAAAATACATATTGCTTTACTAATAAATGTATCAACTTACATGCTCAGTACAGTACATAAGAATATAGCAGGATGACATTTCAGTTAGCTGTACTTACTATTATTTCAGATGCAAAACACCTTAAAGGATCATTTTCAGCATCTTCAGACTGCTCAGGGAATTGTGCTGTCAGCAAAGGGCATTTCAAGCTTTTGAAACAACTAAGGTATAAGAAATGGGTAACTATGAATACAGAAATTCCCAAGTATAAAATGCCTAGTTCCATAAACATATCTAAGTTAATTTTACATGAAAAACAACACAAGCACCAGTGGCTTGTCAAACTGGTGATGTAGGATCCTTCTTGCTAATAATGGAAAGCATGAGAAGAACTTGCTAGACTTAATGTAGTAAGATTCAGTTCCGAATCTGGACTATATCAGTGGATACTGAATGTTTGTCTGGGGACTAGTGCTAGTCCACTATATAGTTTTTGATTACTCGAGGAAAAATCAGGATGATGTAGTAATTTTTTCATAAAGGTGTATTTATTTTATTTAGAAAATCAAACTATTCTGTGATTAAGCTGTTCCTATTTCTTTAGTTAAAATATATTTTCTTTTATGAAAAAATGGGTTTTATAAGTAGTAAAAAATAATATTTTCATGTTCTAACCTGACAGAGTAGAGAGCTAACAGTAGTTTTAGTCTCTAAAATTTTTAAAATAAAATTATTGGTCCATGTAATTCAATAATCTAGTTCAGCACTGTACAATAGAAATATAATGCAAGCCCCATATATAATTTATAATTTTTTAGCAGTCACATTTAAAAAGAAAGAAAGAAGAGAAATTAATTTTGATAATTTAATCTTATTAACCCAATATATCTGAAATATCATTTCAACATGTTATCAGTTTTAAAAATTGAGGTATTTTAGTATTTTTTTTTTTGGTAACAAGTCTTCAAAATCCAAGTGTATTTTACACTTACAGCACATCTTAATTTGGACTAGCCATATGTCAAGTGTTTGAAGGCCATATTGAACAGTGCATCATTAGCCTATAATATCCCTGGAGTGAATGCTATTGGGTACTCCACTGCTGTTTTTGCAGTCAAGTTAGATATTCAACTGTCTGGTGCTTCTTCTGCTTTCAAAGGGAGAGTTAAAACACAATTTCCGTACAGCAAGACCAGATACTTTGAGCTACATCTATTTTCCCAGCTTCTATTATTCATTTACTATGATGAGTTAGGCAATTCATAAAAGAATACAAAGTAAAGTAAATTAAACAAATGGATTTTTGTTTTTAATTTTAAAAAATAGCAATGCCTCATTAAATGCCCATGTTGTATCAACTGAACCTTATATTCTTTGAAAATTCAAAATTTGAAACTAGAGTTATATTTCCATTGCAAACAAACAAAATAACTGAACTATCAACTACTTAAGTCTACTGTGAAATGTTCTTAAAAATATACTTACAATTTCAGTAATTCATCCTTTAGCTTTTCATTTTCCAGGGAGTTTTCTGTGTCATCAATGACTTCTTCCACAAAAGGCTTCGTGAACTCTATTAAGGCCTTGCAACATTGACAAAGGCCATAGTCATCTGTTTGTATTTGTTCTTTTGAGTACGGAACAGGAAGAAGAGATAGTTGACTCCAAATGGTAGACAATGCTAATCCAACTGAATATGCCTTGTTGCTATGAAGTTTCTGTATCACTAAAACAGGGACCAAGTTGTTACTTGAGGTAGTCTCATCAAGCACACTGAACACGGGACAAGAAGTCCAGTTAATGTAGAATTATAACACACTTATTTTTTTTCATATTGCAACAACTCTGGAATCAGGACGTGACACAATAGTTTAATTGGCAGTATTTTTTTCCCTTAGCGGTGCACAAATAATGGAGCATCTTACAATTATGGCACTTTACAATGGATGCCATGAAGTCTTGTTTAGGGGTGTTTACAACAGGTTACATACTTAACACGGAAAAACTTTTTCCCATATATTTTGGTTGTTTTAAGTATAAAGAGAAAGTATAAGGCAAACTATACTGTAAGAGTAAACTGTAAGGCACTGTAAAAATGGGAGACTGAGTATTTCAAGTGGTATCATGCTGCTGGGCATTCACATTTAAAACAAATTTACTCTACTTTCCAATTGTGAGCCCTTCTATCAGACTCTGAAGTCATATGTAGGTCATAAAATTAAAAAGTAGTCTCTTCCCATGGATAAATACTGCCTGCTTTGGTTGCTAAGGCCCATTACTTGCCAATATGGTCATGGCCCTCAGCCATGAAGCCTTTCCTTCCCACACCTGTTGTTTCCTTCTTCACAGTCCCTCTGCTGTTTTCGACCCTAACCTCCCAATGCTGAGGGTGAACAATGCCCTGCCTGATACTGTTCCTAACCAAGATACAGGACTACCGCAATGCTATCAGACTGAGTATTGCAGACACCACAGAGGCAATCTTTTAAATACGTTTACAGAGAAAATTCTAGAATGTAAGTTGCAGATAGGAAGGTTAGGCAAAAAGCTTTAAGTTACAACAAAGTACATGAAATCTGGCATGACTGTCAAGAAAATGTTTACTGGGTACCCACTGAGTCAGACGTTGTTATCTTTCTATGAGCAGAAGGATTCCAATTGGCACTGCTATTACTAGTTTAAGCCGAGTACTCTATAATTAGTCATAAACTTTACTTCGGTATACTGTTGACATTTTGGAGTAATATCAAGGCACTTACACAGAAAATAAAAAACACGTAGATATCAAAATACTCATTACCTGTTTGTAATGGCTGAAGTAAAAGAAGAATAATTTGGGATATCTGTTTTCCAGAGGGCTCTTCAATCAGTTCAAGCAAACCCAACAATAATTCCTTTGGATTACATAACTATAAAAATATTCACAATTGAACCTGTTTAATACAAGTTGTATTTAAAGCCACATGATTACTATTTTTAAAAGAAGGCATATACTGAGAAAATATAATTATTTTTTGCTAACAATAAAACCCCTCATGCAATTGTTAAAGAAATACAACAGCAAAACAGAATCTGTGATTGTCAAATCACTGTAAAACTAAAAAGCAGCAAGAAGTCAAAAATTAAAGGGTCTATAACAAACAACTACATTTTGGAGACTCCTATTCCTGGCCAAAGGAAAAGGTAAAGAAATGGGAAGGGAGAGTCTGATCACTAGAACTGAGGTTTCCTTTGAACTTTGCCAGTCTACTCTGAAGGCTGCCTCGGGTTCCCAGAGGTCCCAGCAGGTGGATCTTTTTATCTCACCTTGTCATGGTATCTAGATAAATGCAGTCTCTTTCGTCCTTCCTGAGCAGATAAAACTTTCGTTGCCTTCAGTATCTTACTGCCTCACTTGCTTTGTGTTTTAAAAAGCCTTCATAGTTAATAAATAATATAAAGATGGAGTTCCCTCTTTCCAACTATATATTTGTTTATTTGCACCAATCTTTAAGTAGATTTTTCTAATGTCATTCTTCTCAGAATTTCTCTCTCTTGATCACCATTTTTGACTTAACGCTATTAAGCTTTTACCAAGGGTTGCTTTCTAAAGTTGTCGGCCACAACTAATCCGCTCCCTATTCCTATTTTCACCGTGATCACTTGCATTCTAGGTTTTGCACATCCTTTTAGGGAACATACCACAGAACAAAGGGCACTGAGATTTGGTTCTAGTTCCAGTGTTGCCAAAAGATCAGTGTAGCCTTGAACTACTCTGAACTTTAAGTTCCAGGTCTATACACTAAGCTACTTATTAAAAACAGAGCTTCTTAGGGCTCTCCTTGGAGATTCTAAATTAGTGGGTCTGAGATGAGGTTAGACAATTCTTATATCCAGAAAATTTGGGGAAACTGAAATGGACTTGCCCAGCCAATCTATAAGGTTACACCTTTCTTCAAAGAGTTCCCTCCTGTATTTTCACGAACAAAAAGCTTTCTCACCAGAAAACAAGCATTAAACATTAAAAAAAATTATAAAATACTGATGTGTAATGTGACAGAAAACCTAGTTTTGTTAACTTACCTTTACCAATAAATCAAGCACCAGAAAATATTTTCCTTTATCATCTTCCTTATTATTCCATAAAAGGCATCGAACAACAGGACCAACAAGATTCCAGCCCATATTCTTGATGATGACCTGTATTAATATTTTCAGAGTAAAACAAATGCTGCTATCTATAGGACACTCACAGTGAGCTTTCTTAACTTGGAGGCGCTTAGAATTTCCTCTCAAAAGAAAAGATGAAGCAAGCAAGTGTACATCTCACCACTGACTTCCCAGAGTTGGCTGCTAACAGATAATATTTTACGATAGTTTTTAATACTTTCACTGAGAAGAGGCAAATGGACTTTACTTTTAATCAGGTAAGTTGGTTTTTCCCAAGATTTAAATAACTCCTCTAATTCCAACAAGAGCATTAATTTGCTTACTATGAGCAAGTACTTAACTTTCGTGGAGAATTTTACTCCCCTGATTCATAATGAAACCCAGCCAATGATCATAAATCTTTTAAAGTTCTTTGGATAATCTATAAATATATTATAATCAAGTAACTTATGTAAAGGTGCCATTTCATTAATTTTCTCTCCTATTTTCAAAGATATTTCAGAATGCTTACCACACAAGTAAAAGTTTATAATTAGAGATTCACATTCATTATCAAAACCACTGATTTTCAAAACTATCAACAATATATTCCATTTGTCTGGCCTGCATTCTACTTCAACTCATCAATATTTATCAAGCATGTACTATGTCGGGTCCCTAGAATATTCTAGGTGCTATTATTAGTTTTATTATTAGCTAAAAGCAAGGTACTTTCAAAAATTATCCTCAAGGAGTTAAAGAAAACATTAAGTTTATTTTGGGCTGCAAAGGAACTGTAAACACATCAAAAACAAATGTTTTAAATAAAATGTCCTAATTTTTCTAAAAAAAGTTTTTTGAAATGAAAAAGGGATAAGACCCTTAAACTACTAAGAGGCTCTATAACAATGATGGAAAAGTTTTAGGAATCTCCCAAACACAATCAAGGTGCCCTGGATATAATCACAGGTCAACAGGACTAGACAGTGATAGCGATAAAGAAAACTTCTGTATAAATAAACAGCACTATAAATGAAAAAAAGAGTGTGTTCCTGGAAAGAAGATGGTCTTCCCTTGTGCAAGACGAGAAGTCCAAAGACAAAATCTGGCAGTGTTGCCAACAATGTGGCTGAGAGCCCGGCCGGGTGTGGCTCAGCGGTTGAGCATTGACCTAGGATCCAGGCGATCAGGGTTTGATTCCCGGTCAGGGCACATGCCCGGGTTGCGGGCTTGATCAATGACTCTCTCATCATTGATGTTTCTCTCTCTCTCCCTCTCCTTTCCTCTCTCTGAAATCAATAAAGATATATTAAAAACAACAACAACAACAAAAAAACAACAAAAAAAAACAATGTGGCTGAGAAAAAAGTGTTTCTGATCCCAGAAAGGTCCTTTCCCATTGTGGTGAATGGATTTCTCAGTTAATTGTAGCTGGATGATACTGATCAGTAAGGTTATCCAGCTCTACTCATGTCAAAATATTATCTTACTTCATACCTGGTTTTCTATACACATCTGGCTAGAGGAACAGGATGTGCTGATCACCAAAAATGAATATCTAGCCTGCCTGATATTTCCCAATGTAAATTAATGATCCAAATGCCACTTTTGGTGCTTAACCTGAAGTAATCCCTTCTCTTTTAAAGTACTTTAATTATACTTTAACTAGAGCACTTATTTCAGTTAGTCTGCCTTTTTATTGCTAGTTGTTTACATGTTTATCTCTTCCAGCAGACTGTAAGTACCTTAAAGTATATGAATAGTTCTAATTCCTTTTTTGTTTTCCAGTTTCCTACTATGGAAATTTAAGTTGATTTTTAAATGTCTGATGAATTAATGAACGGGTGAATAGCATCATGTGACTATTCTCTTCCTAGTAAAGACTGAAAAGTACAGACAAACATCATACATACCTTATTCTTTTCATTTTGAATAACTTCTAATAGCTGGTCTATGTGCCCTTCATCTATGCATCTTTGGCCTGCTAACTGAAATAGGCCAAAATCTTCTTCTTTAAAGTCCTGCTCTTCTAGGATTTGCTGGCAAAAACAAAATAAACAAAAACCAAACATGTTTAGGCAAATAAAAATTCAAGTAACTACTTGACTTATTTTATTTCTGAAAATTCTAAGTTGCACACAGTGTATGTATGAAAATTAGGATTAGCCTAATAAATACTTTAATGATCTTGAAATACTCTGTGTCAAAGAAATCTATAAGGGTCAGTATTCAAAATTTTAAAGGTTATTTAGATGAGTATGTCACCTGGAAAAATAATCCAATCTGCCTTTCTGTCCTCATGCTATTTTTTCACAGGTCAAAAAAAGCAAGGATAAAAGAAGACAAACAATTTGAGTGACCGAAAGTGTAATTAAAAATAATGTGCCTTTCCCAAGGTATTGTGAAAGGTATTTAACGTTATAAAAAGAAAAAAAAAAAGAAAAAACTTACACATCTCTTTATTATGGACTGAAGTTCTTCCACAGCCATTCCTCGTTATTTTTCCTAGTTTTGATGCTGAAATGTACTAATATAAAGCACGCTGTTAACTATCAGAGATATTACATTAAAATATTAATGTTATATTTCATTCTGATAAATTATTAGTAAATATAATAAAGAAAAAAGTTTTAAAGCTGAAATTTTTATTGATTGATTGATTGACTTTTTTTAGAGAGAGTGGGGTAGAGAGAGAGAAAAACATGGATTGGCTGCCGCCTGCACAATCCCTACTGGGGATGGAGCCGGCAACCCGGGCATGTGCCCCGACCAGAATCGAACCAGCGACTTTTTGGTGCATGGGCCGAGCTCATCCAACTGAGCCACACCAGCCAGAGCTAAAGCTGAAATGTTTTTACTGAAAGTTTGCAGTATGTTAGCCTAAGAAAATAAAAATCTATTGTTTTAAAAAGAGCTTCTGTCGCATCCTTTAGGTTTCCTTAAGCATAGTTTTGCTTGGTGTGTTTCTGAAAGATACGCCTGAAAAAATAATCCTCTACAACACTCCCAAGAGGATCACAAATATGGACTACACAAGGTGCACTGAAAAAGTAAGGTATTTCATTTCTGAAAACATTTCCAAAAAGTGGGCTTGAAATCAGTTCTAATCAATAGGGAGTGTTTTATACTTTAATGCCCCACCTGACAAAAATTTAAGTCAACACAACTCACACAGAGGTGGGGCAAGTTCAGATGCCCTCCACCCCACGTGTGACCATGGCATTTTCCTTAAGAGACGCAGTCCCAAAAATAATGAATCCAGTCAGTGAACTCAGGGGAACCCCGTCCGGTTGCCGCAACCCACCCTTTCCCTGGGCGCGGAAGCGCGGACCCAGCCCCGCAGCAGGGGCGCGGATCCGCCAGGTTCTCCAGGCAGCGCGCTCGGGGGCGGATAAAACCCCAGCGCGCGTGCGGGCGGCATCCAAGGGAAGCCATTTCCCCCGATTCCCGATCGCCTGGGCGTTCAGGCCCCACCACCTCCCGGGCCTGATCCGCTCGCCGCGCCGCATCCCCACAGCTCAAGGT